AAATGTCAAATGCACGTGTTCTGCTGGCACGCTTTAGAGAATAAGAGCTGTCAATTTATTTCAATATCATTTATTTGGAGAGGTCAGGGAGCTAGAAAAAATTTGAGTTCTTTGCATGCTGCTTTGCTGCATTCATTTTACCTAATACTACATTGGTGTTTTACTTCAGATGGGAGTGCTTTTGAAAACCAGCATGGTCCAGACCCATTAATCACTCCTTTTCCGTGCTTATGTCTTTCTACCATTTTGATGGTCCCTGTCAACTGAAGTGTCTGTTATTCTGGAATTGAGAACTGACATTGCTGCTAATAGGAAAAAACATGACTACTTTCCCAGCTGTAGGTCTTGTATATTGTGTGAAACCGTGTGTCTGTCACTATTAGTTATTGTATTATTTTGATTGCTCTGGAAGCTTGAGCTCCTGCTACAGTGGATAAGGTCTCACTGTTGTGAATAGAAATGGCAGAGCTTGCATATGTCATCTTTTCTTTCCCTTCACGTTCTGTCATCTTTGGTTCTGTTCAAGGATTTCTGTGAGAAGGGAGGAGGGCAGGTCTTCTTGTTCTGTGTCTAGGTTATTCCTTGTTCTTAAAGATCTGTAAAATGCCTTACTCTCATGTCAAGGTCCCTTTTGGCACTAATCAATTCTGCAAGCAGTTTGTTTTGTTTCCTAAACCAGCAGCGTGAACTCCCCTTAAATATTTTTTTATTTACCCAAGCAATGTTGCTACATTTGTCATTTAGATCCTAATGGCTTTGGCTTCTTTTTTTAGAACTTGTTAGTGATATTCTGCACCTGTTAATGGATACTGCTGAAGAAGCGTTATTTGACTATGCTTGTATTTCTAGAGCATGTGGGGTACACTGATATAAACCAAATAATTTGTTTCTACTTAGAAAATGTCTGAAATAGAGCAAAATAAAAAGGATAAATATATTTTTGTTTAAGGTTCTTTCATCTTTCCACAAACATTAAAACAAACAAACTGAAAAAAATACATGAGAGTTAATTTAAGAGAGGTGAACAAACTGCTTTTATATAGTGTTGAATGGTATTTTCTTGTCATCACAGTTGGAGCTTTAGTTTTTTGTCATCAGCAGGTTTCCAATGTTGGTAAACACAATATATTTAATGACCGTTCTTCTGTTCTGTGTTCTTTAGAAATATGCATTAGAGAATAAACACTGAAATAGCAGTGGCATTGATGGTTCATGTAGATAACAAATTTTTACTTGCGTTATTAAAGATTATAAAACTGAATGCAATGAATAATTTAACATATTTAGTAACTTCATATTTGCTACCTTTCATTGTAATAGAATAACACTGACTTTTATATTGTTTAGTTAAGCTCTGCTGCAAACACAGAACAAATAGATTGCACAAGACATATAGCTTTGTAACCTCAGTTCATGAATGGTGCTATAAATAAAGGTCAGTGGTACAAGATGATTTTAAGCACATGCAGAATGTACATGTCTTTGTAATCTATTTGACATATTTGGTTAGAAATATGCATACTTTTCTGTCTAGTGCCCCATACCTCAGTGCCTGGAATGTGTGTTATAAATATTTAGCTTCTGGTGCCTTTGTTTTTTTTCTGCTGTGCTTCCTTACAAATGGAGTGTCATCTTTGGAAACTCAGATAAGTTTTTTTAGCTATTGGCTCATTCTTCTTGATGTTTCCTTTCAAATTCCACTTTTGGGAAAATACCATATTAAAATACTTAATGATAATGACTGGACAGGCGGCCAATAAGTGAGTTGATATTTTTTAATCATAGAACAGCTGAGATTGTGAAGAGCTTCCAGAGATCATTTACTTCTCTCTTCAATTCCCCTTCTCAAATCAGAACCAACACTGTTGTCCAGTTGGTTTTTCAGTATCTCCAAAGATGGAGACTCCACAACCCTCTCTGAGCAGACTCTTCTAGTGTTCAGCCAGTCTCATGGTTAACTTTTCTTTCTTGTGACTAGATCTAATTTTCTGCATTTCAATTTGTACCCACTGTCTTGTGTGCCCTCACTGAGCATCACTGAGAAGAGTTTGGCTCCATCTTCTTTATTCCCTCCCATCAGATATTTATACACATAGATAAAATCTCCCTGAGCCTTGTCTCCTTCAGGCTGAACACTCACAACTCTCATTCCCATATGGCAAGTTCTTCAATCCCTTCTTCATCCTTGTGGCTCTTTGCTGGCCAAAGTCTGCTTTTCTGAATTCCACATTTGTGATATGGCTTTTTGCCTTGTTTCCTCCTTTTGGAATCCTGAACTATACCATCTCATGGTGGTCACTGCAGCCGTGGTAGAATCATGTTCCCAGGAGCTAAATCCTTGCTATCGGTGTCAGCTGCAGAATCAATTGCTGACTTGCAGAATCCA